ATCAGCGGCCATCAGCAAGGCAGGCTGCAGGCAGTGGGACCCTTACAAAGATGAGTTACAACAACATTTAATTTTCCTCTGGGATTAATAAAGTATTTTTGAATTTTGAATTGAATTGAACAACCCATTAAAAACACCAAAATGCAGGAAATGGTATCTACTTTATTCAAAAATTTCTGGGGGAGGGTCCCCAAAATCCCCACCCACAGGGTCCCCCCCACATTACAAATGCTTCTGATGCTAATGGCTTTCTTACATTATCTGTTCAATGCCAGTCTACACTCATCTTACAATCTACAAACAAATCCCTCAGTGAAGGGGGACATAAGTATTCAGCTTGATATACCAGATACTAGGGTCATTCAACCAGCTATCTGCAGCAGGTACATTTGTTACCTATTTCAAGGCAGGACTGTCAAGGGAACGTCTATTATTTGCATTTGCCATGCTCCTTAATTTTCATTGCTCTTACTGTTATTGTGAATGATATTAAAATGTTCCATGATCCTCACTCCATGTAATAATCAGTCTTCATGTGGTCAGTGAAGGGGCAGCAAGACATAATTCTATTATCCTCAAGGTCTGACTGACATGACAGTGACGTCTTTCTTTCAGAATTCATGGCCTTTCAGATTTCTCCCCGCTCCTGACTGTAGCTGGGTTATGATAAAGTTGGACAGGGCAAGGAGGAGCTGGGGGCTGGCTGTTTCTACAAAACTGATTTTTTCTGTTCAGGAAGTCAGAACGGGTCAGAATGGATCAGAATCTCAGACAGGTGAAGGCATTGATAAGTGTGTTCTTGTAAATGCATTCATCTTTTGTGATTGTGGCTGTTCTCCAAAGCTTTGTAATAAATCTGATAAAGCTTACACCTGGTTCTCGGAATCTCTTTTTTCCACGACAGGACTTTCCAAAGGCCGAGGATCCTAAAATTTTGGGGACCTTAAATCTTAAGGCCAAGAACCTTAAGACTTAGAGGACCTTAAATTCTACTATTGTTTGAATGAGTAGGTGTTTTCTGTTTAATTTTACTGATTCCCACTGAGGTGAAAGCCTACATCACTGGGCAGGTTTACTGAGCTGAAGCCTCAGTGGCTGCTGTTTAATTAACTTCAGAGGTTTTAGAGTTTTCAAGTTCCTGTAACAGAGCAGACTCATCATCTCAGCTGGTCGACTCAATGATTTTCTGTGCTTCAGACTTGAAGCAGCTCGGCTCTGTGAGGCTAAACTTTGAAGTTAATCACTCCTGTCATGCGTGCGTTAATGATTAATGTCAACAGATCCCCTAAAAGGCTTACAGTCGCCTTAATCCTGCTCTGAACAGTTCATACCATTTCCAGAGCACTCCACTTCAAAATAGTCAGAATTTCCCTTTAAGCAGTCTGAAGAAGCAGAAGAGGATCAACAAATGACTGACAGTAAGGTTTATTTTGTTGTTTCTTCTTTTATCTTTTTTATTAACTAAAGAGAAAAAAAACTATCACAATGAGTGAAATGTTGAAATATCTCACAAACTAAATGTTTAGCCGTGACATCAGTTTTTATTCTATTTATAGTCTATCTTTGTCACAAACATGGTAAATTACTGTAATCACTGTAATGCCACTTTAATTGGTAGTATGTGACTTATCTGTGCTGCTGATTATCCATGCTGCTGATCTCATGCTGCTTATTATCCATGCTGCTTATTATCCATGCTGCTGTCTTCACCCATCCGCTCACCGCAGACTCATGTTCAGGCTGCTGTTTAATATACCGTATTATTTTACATTATTACTGTTTAGCGTATTTCTTAGAGTATATCTTATACACTGTTGCTTTTTATACTTTATATCTTTGTTGTTGTTGGATGTAACTGGGACCTTGAGTACACAATTTTGCTCCACCTCATGTACCACATGTGATGCGAATGACAATAAAGAACCTTGAACTTGAAATAATAAACAATCTCATATGACATAATGAGCTCAGAGTATGTGATGAGGATCAGTCTCAGCTACTACCACACCACATACAGCTCAATATCTGTAAAACTGAATAAATTGCCATTTTTGTGTTTGCTGACAATACTAGCTGTAGCAGCCATCTTGGCTGGGGCTGACTCTAGAAGGTCATTAGTTGCCAATGCACAACCAGTGTTTCATTAAAATCTGTCCAGTACTCCATGAGATATTTTGCTAACAGACAAATAGTTAAGGGCATATAATAATGGTAAAAATATAAATATCTTGCGTCATCAGTTGGCCTTCACAGTATGTGACGTTAATGATCGTCAGCTACCACCACAGCAGGGCACAGCTCAGTCTGACTGATGGAGCTGCAGAGTCACCTGTGGCCGCTGGGGGGAGCGCGCGTTCCACGGATCCGCTGCTGATTCAGATGGAGGCAACCTGTGAGCGCGTGCACGCTGACTCATTCACAGCATCACATCACAGCATGCGCGTGCATTAAGCCGGTTTGGTCCACTCGCGCATAAACACACCGGGCTAACCAAGCTCTGAGCGCTCTATTAGTCACGTGACCGCAGCTCTGTGTGATTCAGATGATCAGTCCGGGTCCTGAAGGTCCTGAGGGTCCAGCTGGGTCCCTCTGTCACCCCACGGTCCTGTCAGAGACACCTGGCTTGACCCACAGAGACATCCAGGGACAGTGAAAGAAAACAAGATGACGTTGACTGACAAGCAGAGGAGCCAATCAGGAGCGAGCTCTGCGCCGCGGGGCTGCAGGTGGGCGGGGCCACGCAGGGAAAACGCTGAGAGTTGAGTGAAAAGATTCAGAATCGAGAGTGGACTCGGGGTAGGACGCACGTCTCAACTGGACTCTGAAGGACTAAAAGCTTCTTGTGACTCGGACTGAGGGGGGCAGAGGAAAACCTGCGTCTCTTTCATGGATTACAGATCCGGAGTTCAGGTTCTGCTCCAGAGTTCTGATTCTGCTTCAGAGTCCAGTGCGCGCCGGACTCAGCGCTCCGGGACTCACCTGGAAGATCCAGAGTGCGGAACCTGAACCCGGAGTTGGAGGTGGTATCATTAAAGTCCACCCGCAGGTCCAGGAGGCTCCTGCTGGGACAGCCGGGACCTGCTGACCCGTGCCGGACCGGAGCAGCAGCTGGATGCGGACCTGCATGACACCATTGCTGCTGTTTGTTGTTGTTGTTTACCAAAGTGCGCTTGTTGTTCCGGACATGCTCGCGCTCCTGCTGCTCGTATGGCTCACTGCCGGAGTGCGCGCCCAGATCCGGTACTCGGTCCCGGAGGAGGCGGACCGCGGCACGCTTGTGGGCAACATCGCGGAGGACCTGGGTCTGGACTTGACCAAGCTGGCCTCGCGCCACTTCCAGGTGGTACCCAGCTCCAGGAGCCCGTACCTGGAGGTGGACCTGGAGAACGGGGTCCTGATGGTGAAGGAGCGCGTGGACCGGGAGCAGATCTGCAGGCAGAGCGCGCGCTGCCAGCTCAACATGGAGGTGTTCCTGGAAAACCCGCTGGAGCTGTTCCGGGTGGAGATCGAGGTAGTGGACATCAACGACAACCCGCCCAGCTTCCCCGAACCGGACCTGACGGTGGAGATCTCTGAGAGCGCCACTCCCGGGACCCGGTTCCCCCTGGAGAGCGCCTTCGACCCGGACGTGGGCTCGAACGCGCTGCGGACCTACGACCTGACCACCAACAACTTCTTCTACCTGGACGTCCAGACCCAGACGGACGGAAACAAGTTCGCAGAGCTGGTCCTGGAGAAGCCGCTGGACCGGGAGCAGCAGGCGGCGCACCGGTACGTCTTGACTGCGGTGGACGGGGGCCAGCCCCCCCGCACCGGGACCGCGCTGCTGGTGGTCAAAGTTCTGGACTCAAACGACAACGTGCCGGTGTTTGAGCAGCCGGTCTACACGGTGAGTCTGTCCGAGAACATCCCGGTGGGGTCCCCGGTGATCCAGCTCAACGCCACGGACCTGGACGAGGGTCTGAACGGGGAGGTGGTCTACTCCTTCAGCAACCACATCTCCAGCCGGGTCAAGGACCTGTTCAGCATAGACCCGCGGACCGGCCGCGTGGAGGTGCGCGGGGAGGTGGACTTCGAGGAGACCGGCCTCTATCAGATCTTCGTCCAGGCCAAGGACCTGGGTCCGAACGCCGTGCCCGCGCACTGCAAGGTTCTGGTCAAAGTCGTGGACGTGAACGACAACGCGCCGGAGATCACCTTCAGCACCGTGACCGAGTCCGTGCGTGAGAGCGCGACCTCCGGGACCGTGATCGCCTTACTGAGCGTCACGGACCGGGACTCGGAGGAAAACGGGCAGATCCACGTGGAGATCCTGGGAGAGGTTCCATTCAAGCTCAAGTCCTCATTCAGGAACTACTTCACCATCGTGACAGACGGACAGCTGGACCGGGAGCACACGGACTCCTACTCCGTCACCGTGGTGGCCCGGGACAAAGGGACCCCGTCCCTGGCCTCCAGTAAGTCCATCAGGGTCCAGGTGTCAGATGAGAACGACAACGCCCCCACCTTCACGCAGTCCGTGTACGATGTGTACGTGACAGAGAACAACGTGCCGGGGGCCTACATCCACGCAGTGACGGCTCTGGACCCGGATGTGGGTCAGAACGCCCTCATCACCTACTCCATCTCAGAGCGGGACATCCAGGGCATGTCGGTGAAGACCTACGTGTCCATCAACGAAGACACCGGGTACCTGTACGCCCTGAGGTCCTTTGACTACGAGCAACTGAAGGACTTCAGCTTCGTGGTTCGGGCCCAGGACTCAGGGACCCCCCAGCTGTCCTCCAACGCCACGGTCAAAGTTATCATCGTGGACCAGAACGACAATGCCCCGTCGGTTCTGGCCCCGCTGGGGAAGAATGGGTCCGCTAAGGAGCCCCTCCCTCGCTCAGCAGAGCCGGGCTACCTGGTGACCCGGGTGGTTGCCATGGATACGGATGATGGGGAGAATGCCCGTTTGTCCTACAGCATCCAGAGGGGCAACGAGAACGGCATGTTCAGAATGGACTGGAGGACCGGGGAGCTGAGGACCGCCAGGAGAATCTCGCCTAAGAGAGACCCCCACCAAATGTACGACCTGCTGATCGAGGTCCGGGACCATGGCCAGCCCCCCCTGTCCTCCAGCGCCAGCCTGCTGGTGGTTCTGGTGGACAGTGTGGCTGCTGGCCGGGGCCTTGGGGACAAAGTGGGCACCAACAAGTCCAAGGACAGCTCCCTGGACCTGACCCTGATCCTCATCATCGCCCTGGGCTCCGTCTCCTTCGTCTTCCTCCTGGTCATGATAGTTCTGGCGGTCCGGTGCCAGAAGGACAAGAAGCTGACCCTGTCCCCCTGCATGGGCTGCAGCTCCTGCTGCTCCCGGCAGGTCCGCTCCCGCAAGAAAAAACTCAGCAAGTCCGACATTATGCTGGTCCAGAGTACGGTCAACGTCAGCGGGACCGGGACCTCCCAGGTCCCCGTTGAGGAGTCTGGGAGCTTCGGCTCCCTCCACCAAAACCAGAACTATTGCTACCAGGTCTGCCTGACTCCAGAGTCCGCTAAAACGGACCTCATGTTCCTGAAACCGTGCAGTCCGTCCAGGAGCTCGGATGCCGATCACAACCCTTGCGGGGCCATCGGGTCCGGGTTCTCCGACCCGCAGCCGGACATCATCTCCAACGGCAGCATCTTGTCCAACGAGGTGAGTCCACCACACACCCACTGACACCGGGTCAGAATCAGAACCAGTCTAGATTTAAGGCATCTCACATAATATCAGCTACAGAAAGACAAGAACCAGGTCAGGACCCACAAGTTCTGACGGGTTTCACTGGTTCTTTAAACCAGTCCCTGAGTTCTGGTCCAGTTCAGAGCCGAAGCTCTCCTCTGCAGCTGATATTTAGCGGTTCCTCCACCAGCCAGACCGGACAGATCACAACATTAATGTTTAATCAGTTTATAAAGTCAGATTATGAATATTTAACATAAAGTTCCTAGGATTAAAAACCTTAAATATTTGCTTTTCTAAAGATGATAGTAGTTTTACAAGTAAAAGTACTGTAGTACTACTGCTCTGTACTACAGCTAATTAATCAATAAGTGAAGTGAGAAAATTTGATACAGTGAATGATTAAAAAAATAACTGAATTCTTTATTTGAACATATTTATGCAGAAAAAGTAATTTATAAAACAAAATATTATCTTTAAATTATGAAAAGAAGCAGGAAGCTTTTCTAAACCATGAGATGAAAACTTGTTGTCCCCCGACGGAGCGAAGAGGTGGAGCTGGACAGAACTCCATCTCTCCATCCGTGTTGTGAGCATAACAGGAAAAATAAGTAACGTACCAGTAACAGCCTATTGGAAACTGGGTTGCCACCTCAAAATTCAAGATGGCTGCCACCATTTATTCACATTAACCATCCATCCATCATTTTTTTTACCCGCTTCTTCCTTTTTGGGTCTCAGGGTCACTCGTGCTCATGTCCAACCATCACTGTGTGAGAGCCCAGGGACACCCTGGTCAGGTCTCCAGTCCATCACAGGGACACATAGAGACAAATGAGACAAATAAACATTCACTCTCTCACTCACACCTAGAGACAAGTTAGAGTTACCAATCAGCCTAACATGGATGTTGTTGGTCTGTAGGAGGAAACCCATGCAGCATGGAGTGAACATGCAAACTCCACACAGAAAGGTCCTGGGCTGGGATTTGAACTGGCGACTTTCTCACAGAGTGGCAACAGCTCTACCAGCTGCACCACTGTGCCGCCCTGTAAACCAGCCACTCCTATCATTTGAGGATGATTTTTTTTATTTTTTATTTTGCTTAAAAGTTTAGTTTCCTTAGATGATTAGGGTGGCCCAAGATTATTCTCTGGTGGCCAGGGCCACCATTGGTCACCCCCTGGCTCCACCACTGCACCAGGTCAGACACCACTCTGCAATGCCTCAGAGAAGCGCACACACAAATAAAACTGCCTCTGTTCTTCTCCGCAGTAATTCCGACCCTCTTGCATAAAAAACATTTAGGTTTACTCCCTGCTCACTTGCAGGCGCACCGCTCGCTTCCTTTAGCTGAACGTAGCATGCAGACTACTGTAATCTCATATTTACACACACACATTTACAAATATATACACAATTTCACAAGCATACATGCACATATCAAAGTACATGTATGGAGAAGCACACACATAAGGGCTGACACTAACAGCTTTTTATTTACATTATTCTGCCAACAGATTAATCTACAAATGTGCTTTGTATTTTTAGTTAATCATAATTTTAACAGTCAACCTGGACATTTACAGGATCCCACAAAATACCTTGTTTAAATCAAAAGACAGGTTTAAAGCTCCAGCTGCGGCGGCATGGCTGTTTCTGTAGTTGAAAAGATAACGAGGATCCATTGTGTCATCAGGATCCTGTTGGTAAGACCTGCAGCGAGTCAGTGTCCGTGTTTTATCTTCACCACGAGACGAGCAACAAAAACAACCAGTTAACTGAAAATGAACCAATTATTTTCATTTAGCTTACACTGTTTATCAAATCCTGTATATCAGTTATAATTGTCAACATCTTCAGATTCTAATGGTATGTTTTAGTTATGGCCAACATTTCCACAGTAAAACACAGTTGAAACAGACAAGCATCATGGCTGCATGTTGAAACACACAGGTGCTGTGTTCACATCTGTTCAGGCTCTGCTCTAAAGTTTTCTTCAAACTGTAGCAGACCGACGGGATCAGGGATCCCAGAAGGTGGAGGGAGCAGTCTGATCCAACACCAGGCGCGATGGCGGAGCTACATCTATATCTAGATGCAGCCACACCAAAATGGAAGTCGGCACATTACTTATTGTTCAAGTTATCCAGCTCACAAGCATTACATAAACACATACATGTGACGGCCATGTTGGATTTTGATGTAACATCCCAAATTTTGATAGTGACCTTTTTACACTTCATCTAAGTTGAAGTCAGCTCCTCAGTGTTCGTACCATACTCACAACATGCAGACAGATGGACGGAGGGCGTTTCCAATGCCCCCTCTTTGATCTGCGACGAGGTGTGTTTGTTTGGGGGGGAGACAAAACTTGTGGAGCTTTGGTTTACTGTCGGCTCAACAACTCTCGAATGCACCATCTACAGATCTACAGTTCCTTTTATTGTCAGCTAGCTTCAAGTACTTTAGACTTCATCGACCTTTGAAAATTGTTATATATATACAGTATATATATATATGTATATGTGTATGTGTATATATATATATATATATATATAT